TATTTCCTCTACAACGGGCTCTTTCCTATGTCATCAGCGCTTTGTCCTGTATGTATTTCTCACCTCTGTGTCCTTCTGTTTCGTGCTGTTTTTCATCATGAACGTTTACCGACTAGCCCAACTGTCCATTCTTGTAAACTTTATTTCTTCTACAACGGGCTCTGTCCTATGTCATCAGTGCCTTGTCCTGTATGTATTTCTCTCCTTTGTGTCCTTCTGTTTCACGCTGTTTTTATTATGAACGTTTACCGACTAGCCCAACTGTCCATTCTTGTAAGCTTTATTTCCTCTACAACGGGCTCTTTCCTATGACATCAGCGCCTTGTCCTGTATGTATTTCTCTCCTTTGTGTCCTTCTGTTTCGTGCTGTTTTTCATCATGAACGTTTACCGACTAGCCCAACTGTCCATTCTTGTAAACTTTATTTCTTCTACAACGGGCTCTGTCCTATGTCATCAGTGCCTTGTCCTGTATGTATTTCTCTCCTTTGTGTCCTTCTGTTTCGTGCTGTTTTTCATCATGAACGTTTACCGACTAGCCCAACTGTCCATTCTTGTAAACTTTATTTCTTCTACAACGGGCTCTTTCCTATGACATCAGCGTCTTGTCCTGTATGTATTTCTCTCCTTTGTGTCCTTCTGTTTCACGCTGTTTTTTATTATGAACGTTTACCGACTAGCCCAACTGTCCATTCTTGTAAACTTTATTTCCTCTACAACGGGCTCTTTCCTATGACATCAGCGCCTTGTCCTGTATGTATTTCTCTCCTTTGTGTCCTTCTGTTTCGTGCTGTTTTTCATCATGAACGTTTACCGACTAGCCCAACTGTCCATTCTTGTAAACTTTATTTCTTCTACAACGGGCTCTTTCCTATGTCATCAGCGCCTTGTCCTGTATGTATTTCTCTCCTTTGTGTCCTTCTGTTTCGTGCTGTTTTTCATCATGAACGTTTACCGACTAGCCCAACTGTCCATTCTTGTCAACTTTATTTCTTCTACAACGGGCTCTTTCCTATGACATCAGCGCCTTGTCCTGTATGTATTTCTCTCCTTTGTGTCATTCTGTTTCACGCTGTTTTTTATTATGAACGTTTACCGACTAGCCCAACTGTCCATTCTTGTAAACTTTATTTCCTCTACAACGGGCTCTTTCCTATGACATCAGCGCCTTGTCCTGTATGTATTTCCCTCCTTTGTGTCCTTCTGTTTCACGCTGTTTTTTATTATGAACGTTCACCGACCATCCCAACTGTCCATTCTTGTAAACTTTATTTCTTCTACAACGGGCTCTGTCCTATGTCATCAGTGCCTTGTCCTGTATGTATTTCTCTCCTTTGTGTCCTTCTGTTTCACGCTGTTTTTTATTATGAACGTTTACCGACTAGCCCAACTGTCCATTCTTGTAAACTTTATTTCCTCTACAACGGGCTCTTTCCTATGTCATCAGCGCCTTGTCCTGTATGTATTTCTCACCTCTGTGTCCTTCAGTTTCGCGCTGCTTTTCATCATGACCGTTCACCGACTAGCCCAACTGTCCATTCTTGTAAACTTTATTTCTTCTACAACGGGCTCTGTCCTATGTCATCAGTGCCTTGTCCTGTATGTATTTCTCTCCTTTGTGTCCTTCTGTTTCACGCTGTTTTTTTATTATGAACGTTTACCGACTAGCCCAACTGTCCATTCTTGTAAACTTTATTTCCTCTACAACGGGCTCTTTCCTATGTCATCAGCGCCTTGTCCTGTATGTATTTCTCACCTCTGTGTCCTTCTGTTTCGTGCTGTTTTTCATCATGAACGTTCACCGACTATCCCAACTGTCCATTCTTGTAAACTTTATTTCTTCTACAACGGGCTCTGTCCTATGTCATCAGTGCCTTGTCCTGTATGTATTTCTCTCCTTTGTGTCCTTCTGTTTCACGCTGTTTTTTATTATGAACGTTTACCGACTAGCCCAACTGTCCATTCTTGTAAGCTTTATTTCCTCTACAACGGGCTCTTTCCTATGACATCAGCGCCTTGTCCTGTATGTATTTCTCTCCTCTGTGTCCTTCAGTTTCGCGCTGCTTTTCATCATGACCGTTCACCGACTAGCCCAACTGTCCATTCTTGTAAACTTTATTTCTTCTACAACGGGCTCTGTCCTATGTCATCAGTGCCTTGTCCTGTATGTATTTCTCTCCTTTGTGTCCTTCTGTTTCACGCTGTTTTTTATTATGAACGTTTACCGACTAGCCCAACTGTCCATTCTTGTAAGCTTTATTTCCTCTACAACGGGCTCTTTCCTATGACATCAGCGCCTTGTCCTATATGTATTTCTCTCCTTTGTGTCCTTCTGTTTCACGCTGTTTTTTATTATGAACCTTTACCGACTAGCCCAACTGTCCATTCTTGTAAGCTTTATTTCCTCTACAACGGGCTCTTTCCTATGACATCAGCGCCTTGTCCTGTATGTATTTCTCTCCTTTGTGTCCTTCTGTTTCACGCTGTTTTTTATTATGAACGTTTACCGACTAGCCCAACTGTCCATTCTTGTAAGCTTTATTTCGTCTACAACGGGCTCTGTCCTATGTCATCAGTGCCTTGTCCTGTATGTATTTCTCTCCTTTGTGTCCTTCTGTTTCACGCTGTTTTTTATTATGAACGTTCACCGACTAGCCCAACTGTCCATTCTTGTAAGCTTTATTTCCTCTACAACGGGCTCTTTCCTATGACATCAGCGCCTTGTCCTATATGTATTTCTCTCCTTTGTGTCCTTCTGTTTCACGCTGTTTTTTATTATGAACGTTTACCGACTAGCCCAACTGTCCATTCTTGTAAGCTTTATTTCCTCTACAACGGGCTCTTTCCTATGACATCAGCGCCTTGTCCTATATGTATTTCTCTCCTTTGTGTCCTTCTGTTTCACGCTGTTTTTTATTATGAACGTTTACCGACTAGCCCAACTGTCCATTCTTGTAAGCTTTATTTCCTCTACAACGGGCTCTTTCCTATGTCATCAGCGCCTTATCCTGTATGTATTTCTCTCCTCTGTGTCCTTCAGTTTCGCGCTGCTTTCCATCATGACCGTTCACCGACTAGCCCAACTGTCCATTCTTGTAAACTTTATTTCTTCTACAACGGGCTCTGTCCTATGTCATCAGTGCCTTGTCCTGTATGTATTTCTCTCCTTTGTGTCCTTCTGTTTCACGCTGTTTTTTATTATGAACGTTCACCGACTAGCCCAACTGTCCATTCTTGTAAACTTTATTTCCTCTACAACGGGCTCTTTCCTATGTCATCAGCGCCTTGTCCTGTATGTATTTCTCTCCTCTGTGTCCTTCAGTTTCGCGCTGCTTTTCATCATGACCGTTCACCGACTAGCCCAACTGTCCATTCTTGTAAACTTTATTTCCTCTACAACGGGCTCTTTCCTATGTCATCAGCGCCTTGTCCTGTATGTATTTCTCTCCTTTGTGTCCTTCTGTTTCACGCTGTTTTTTATTATGAACGTTCACCGACTAGCCCAACTGTCCATTCTTGTAAACTTTATTTCTTCTACAACGGGCTCTTTCCTATGTCATCAGCGCCTTATCCTGTACGTATTTCTCTCCTCTGTGTCCTTCTGTTTCGCGCTGTTTTTCATTATGAACGTTTACCGACTAGCCCAACTGTCCATTCTTGTAAACTTTATTTCCTCTACAACGGGCTCTTTCCTATGTCATCAGCGCCTTGTCCTGTATGTATTTCTCACCTCTGTGTCCTTCAGTTTCGCGCTGCTTTTCATCATGACCGTTCACCGACTAGCCCAACTGTCCATTCTTGTAAACTTTATTTCTTCTACAACGGGCTCTGTCCTATGTCATCAGTGCCTTGTCCTGTATGTATTTCTCTCCTTTGTGTCCTTCTGTTTCACGCTGTTTTTTATTATGAACGTTCACCGACTAGCCCAACTGTCCATTCTTGTAAACTTTATTTCCTCTACAACGGGCTCTTTCCTATGTCATCAGCGCCTTGTCCTGTATGTATTTCTCTCCTCTGTGTCCTTCAGTTTCACGCTGTTTTTTATTATGAACGTTCACCGACTAGCCCAACTGTCCATTCTTGTAAACTTTATTTCTTCTACAACGGGCTCTGTCCTATGACATCAGCGTCTTGTCCTGTATGTATTTCTCTCCTTTGTGTCCTTCTGTTTCACGCTGTTTTTTATTATGAACGTTCACCGACTAGCCCAACTGTCCATTCTTGTAAACTTTATTTCCTCTACAACGGGCTCTTTCCTATGTCATCAGCGCCTTGTCCTGTATGTATTTCTCTCCTCTGTGTCCTTCAGTTTCGCGCTGCTTTTCATCATGACCGTTCACCGACTAGCCCAACTGTCCATTCTTGTAAACTTTATTTCCTCTACAACGGGCTCTTTCCTATGTCATCAGCGCGTTATCCTGTACGTATTTCTCTCCTCTGTGTCCTTCTGTTTCGCGCTGTTTTTCATTATGAACGTTTACCGACTAGCCCAACTGTCCATCTTTGTAAAATTTATTTTCTCTACAACGGGCTCTGTCCTACGTCATCAGTGTCTTGTCCTGCATGTATTTCTCTCCTCTGTGTCCTGTTTCGCCCTGTTTTTCACCATGAACGTTTACCAACTAGACCAACTCTTGTGAACAATTTTTTGTTCGGGTCACCAGTCTCTAGGTCAGGGTATCGTTGGGTACGCCATATTCGACCTTCTGTAGAAAAATATATTTTCACTCCAAGCTCCAGATAATATATGACACAAAAAGAGATCAACGAACAAAACAAATTTTTAATTTTCTTTGTTACAATGAAATAGCCAAGGCTCTCAAAATTTCGTATGTCTATACTTCTTTACGATCGTTGAAATATTGTAAGCATCACAGAATGAACGAGGCCGAACAGTACATATAAAAGCTCGTTTATATGGAAATTTAGACGGTTCGTGCAGTGCTATCAAATACTTCAAGTGTCCGTCTCTTTATTCCCTCCTACATTTTATTTTCTTAGACTCGGTCATTGAAGAAATGGCAGCGCAGTGTATGCTGTTTTTCGTTGGCGGAAGTGACGCAATCACGCTAACGTTGACTTGGACGGCCTACTCCCTCGCCTTGCACCCGGAGTGTCAAAACATTGTGCTAAAAGAGATTGACAGCGCTGTAAAACAGGTAAAAGCCTAAAGTGTCTACAAGTGCCAGCAGTCGAAAGAGTGTATAAACGATTATTAACTATACGAGGTCTAATAAAATGCCGATTTCTTTTACCCGGGCATGACGGAAAACCTGAAGTCCGCAAGTATAACGCTAGCGGAGAGGATATGAAAACATGACGTTACCTGTGTAATCAAAATACCTGAAACATACCCAGGTCCCGAACAACTTACGGAGATCAATCAATCTTGTTAACTTGCCCACACTTTTAAATGAACTTTTATATATTAATATCGTTCTAGAAATATGCACAACGAAGTTCTTGATTTCATATTTTATTTTTGTTGAATCTGTCTAGTCTTGTGAGGACTTGTTCTTTATGTGCATCATTTTCTTCGCTTTCGTTTTAGAGCGCAGCTCTTAGGCACCCGTTTCCGGTTTGAGCGACGTTGGCGTCGGCGCCGCCGTCGCCGTCGGCGTAACCGCGCAGTACATTATGGGACGCGTGACGTCACTGATGACATCATCATCATTGTCATCGGCATCATCACTGATGACGTCATCAATGACGTCACTGATGACGTCATCGACATCGCCATTGTCCCTGATGCCGTCATCCGCATCGCCATAGTCACTGATGACGTCATCAGTGACGTCACTGATGACGTCATCGGCATTCGCATCGGCATCGTCACTGAAGACGTTACTAGTGATGATGACGTCAACTGTGACGTCACTGGTGACGTTATCGTCATTGTCACGTGACCTCATAGGGGTCACGTGATCCCCGTGAGGTCACATGACCCCCGTGAGGTCACGTGACCCTCGTGAGGCGACGGCGACGCTGCTGGGAGGGAGGAGTAGCAGACAGGATGAGGACGTGAGGAAAACGGAAGAGGAGTATACCTTCCCCTCAATATCCTTCCCTCCTCCTCAAGAGCTGTGCTCTAATTCGGCTTTACAGAGACTTGTAAACGGCTTTCATTTTTTTGTTTAATTTCTTGAATATTGCAGGAGCTTGTTTTTGTGTGCATTGTCCGTTTATTTTTTTATTTTTATTTTTAGTATCTGTGTTTCAGTATAGTTTATTGTTTGTTTCTGCAGTAGCGCCTGTATTGACAAGTTATGGGGGCGGGAGCCTCCTTATGCTGCTTCGTGCAACTTTTTCTGCTGCCCCCCTCACTCCTCCGGAGTGACAAAAAAATAGGATTACTATTATACTATATCTATGATTTTGCAATCACAAAGAGAAGAAGGCGCTCATGTAAATAGATTCTTTTGGCGTGAATACACGCAAAACAAAACGTGGATCATATGAAATAGCTAGTATACCTAAACGCCCTTTCTCTCCAGAATGGCGTCACCTACGAATCACTCAAGGACATGCCATATCTGGAAGCTGTGATCAACGAGGCACTGCGAATGTATGCACCAGAACCATTGTAAGATGTCCCTCCTGAAATGCATAAACTGTGTAGGAATTCCCTCGCTGCTACCCGTCTCGGAAAATGTCACAACGCACGGGTCAACAGCAGGTACAGCTGCGGCGGGAAAAGATGAGCGCAAGTGACCGACGACCGGAGAAGCTAAATCGCGGCACGCGGTGATAATGTTCCTGAGCGTGCCGATAGCGGGAGTATCAGTCACGTTCCATGTCTCAACGTGGGGTGGCCGACAGAAAGCAGGCCATCCTAGAGCCCACATTTCGGAAGCTATCTTATCCCTCAATTCTCTGCCGGCCACAGCCTGCTTTTGAGACTTGGCACATACTGGCACTTTCGCTATCGGCGCGCTCGGGAACAATAGCTCCGCGCGTCGCGATTTTGCCAATCCGGTCATCGGTCACTTCCAGGCACGTAGCCGGGGGAGGGGGGGGGGGGTGCTTTGGGGCCCGGCCTTCCCTCCCGGAATCTTCCATTTTGCTGGGACCTCCTCTCCCCCCTCCCCTTCATACAGAATTTTGTCATTAAGGCCCCCCCCCCCCCCCCCACACCCCTCGAAACAAAATCCTGGCTACGTGCCTATACTTCGTCTCACCCTACGATGGACTAAAGGCAAAAGCTACGAGCCTCCAGATCCAATCACGAGGCACTTAGAAATTGCGTGGTATTTTGCTTCAATGCACGTATCGGTGTCCGCGTCTTGAATTACTGATGGGGATGGGCGGACAGTGGCTCGAATCGAAGAGCACTGAGTGACTCAACAATTTGACATTGCCAAGAAAGCCTCGACATACAGGCTCCTCGCTGTGTCGCAGCTATAGAAATGATGCAGCGCTTTTAGATTCGGAGCCGGATTCGTCGACCCCTAATCAATATTGATTAGGGGTCGACGAATCCGGCTCCGAATTATGACATGTTAACATATGTTAACATGTCATAGTTTAGCGTGGAACGCTATTGGATCTAGCGGCTCGCGGCTTTGGCCTTTAGTCCATCGTAGGATGAGACAAAGTATAGTCACTTATGCTGATCCCAAGAGCCCCCCACGCATACGCTGCGACTGCCCTTTATCAGCGGCGGAGCGTCGCTCGCGTGGCCCCCTTACACTTGGAAATGCCTATGCGCGATTTGGCATGCAGATCACCTGGTCCAACTCTTTGCATCCCCAGGTTGCCCACAACTATGAAATGAGAACGTAATATCTTCACAAGCAGACGGCCTGCGAATTGTCAGCTGACGGGTTCGAGTCCCAGACCAGCATCCCACTACCTCTCAGGGGCCTAACGCATCGAAGGATTGATCTGGCCGATGACTTCTCAAAATTCAGTTTTAATTGTGTTTGTTTCAGCCACCTAACGACCATACTATTGGTATATTTTAAACACTTCACGAGACAAACCCGGACAAAGAGCATTTGTTCGAGTATTTACTGCATACAGAATGCGTCACACCGGGCTGCTAGTATATTCGCCTTGGAGGTCGACACGAGAAATTAGCAGCATAAAAACTGGGGCTGTTTTGGTGTTGCTTCCCTGCAGACTAGTATAAATAAGACAGCATTTAGACGTAGTCGTAGCGAAGAAATGCTATCGCATTTATAATACAATACAATACACCGGAGAAACCGTGTAAGCGCTCGAGTTTGAACCAGGGTCACTCAACCGAACTGCGTTAAAAGCACACGCAGTAAAAGCGAGCTTGAAATATTCCCACAAGGAAGCGAGCGCACACGCACATACTCACATGGTGAAAGGCTATGCAAGAGGTGAGAGGAAAGAAAACGAACAAGTGATTCAGAGGAAACCAAAAGACGAGAAATAATTCACGGTAAAAAATCGTACGTGCAACCGCAAGATATGTGAACTTCGTGTTCGTACTCCCACTATAGTATGTTGCAGGTTAAGAAGCTAGGCCGAGGTAAAGAAAAGTGGGAGAAAATGAAACGGACGCAACGCTGGCAAGGGGAGACGGTTTCATCCTCCCTTCGCCAGCGTTGTGTCCGCTTCCTCCTCTCCCACCTTTCTTTCCCTCGCGCTACCTTCTTAACCTGCGGTACGAAGGCCTTAGATAATATTATGTTTGTCGGTCAAGGAGGTGCATTTATGAGCGATTCTCACCGGCAGTTTTAAAAAGAATATAGTTCGTTATAGACTTTTCGCGAGAGAGTTCGAGATGTAGTAAGGTTTCATGCAGATGCTGAGAAAATGTTTCGTATGAATCACATTTCTGATATAGATCAAATTTCTCATGTAGAGTCTGAAAAATGTATTGCATTAACTTGGGTGTGTAGACTGTAGATATCAGTTTTTCGAGGTTTGAGAGCATTAGTCAACACTCCTCAGCTGAAGCAAATATGAATTCCACTTGTTGACTCTCTCACTTCAGCCTAGTACGGAGATGCACCCAGGAGACTTCAGTGGCTGGAATTCAAGTTCGTCCAGGAATGAGCATCGAAATTCCGATGGAAGGAATTCATCGCGACCCAGACTTTTTTCCCGAACCTGACTGTTTCAAACCAGAAAGGTTGGTGTTTCCATTTCAAGATTGTTTCCCGCAGTCGACGACATGTACAAATACTCGACAAAAGAATCTCAGTGCACCCTAAACTGAGGAAAGTGGAATTCAGTATCTGAAATTCCTGTCCTCTCAATAATTTTCTTTAGATGTTTAAAAATGACATATTTTTTTAAATAGTCTGTACAGCAGCGAAGGGCGTCCTATTCAGTTGCGTGGGTACGTGTCCTGACATATGGTATGTGATGTCTACCCGAATGTAGAGAACACTGTCGCAAGTCAATGCCGAAATAAGCATGGCTAACAAGTAACATGATTGGCGTGAAGAGGACGCTTTTAGAATATTAGCATATTATCTATGTTATACGTACCAGAACATGCTTGTGCCATCAAAAACGCACTAATCTACAACTTGGATACGACGTGTCCACGCGTTTTTATCGTAAACTCTACCTGTACAGCGTGCCAAATGTTTTCTTGATTCGCGCCTGCTCATCCCTAATTCTTGTTCAAGATTCTTGCCTGAAAACAAGGAGGCTCTTGTCCCGTACACGTTCCTTGCTTTCGGTGCCGGGCCACGAAACTGCGTTGGCCAGAGGATGGGAATCGTACAAACAAAGGCTACACTGGCTTGCCTCCTCCAAAGGATCAAGTTTGAAAGATTCAGTGAAACCCCGGTATGTGCAGTGTATAAATACATCATAGTGCGTATACACGTTTTCGAAAAATTGAACCATAAAATATTGACGCTCGACTCCCTTTCAACGTACCATGAACCGAAGTGAACGCCACGAGCCATCGGAGCCAACACAATGTCACGCGGCCTCTGGTCACGTGACCCAAAAGAATTTCAACCGTCTGCTCAATCGCTTTGCACGCTTTACAACGAATCGCAAGTAAATAAGCGTTCCGTGGGCGACCTTAACAATTTCTTGGCAACGCATCAATTGTATGTAACAATATAAAAAGTACCCGAATTACGCGCACACCATTCTTTGAGCCAAGTGGGATTTCAGTGCATTCACTCCAAGACATTCGTCTCTGGAACCATGCTACCCACTGCTGCTATCTATAATGTTTAATACAACGTTGTTCTTTTGTTGCAAATAAGACGGATGTAAAAAAGCGATACAATCGATATTGGTATAGTGCCTACTATATTGAACCCATTCCACTAGGCATTTCTGATGAAACATCCCCATCACCGAACCATAGATTTTATCCTGCATACGTATAATTTAAAGTCGGCTTATATTATATAGGTTCGAGCTTAGCTATCATCCTCAGTTCCTTTCATGTCTCAAGAAATTTCTCAAACCCTTATGTTCCTGTTCCCCCCTCATACCAGACTTTCGCTAAAGAACAGTTCTTGAGAAGCCCTTTTTCCTCGCGTTATTATGTCGCGCACTGCACGAGTCAGCCAGAGCAGCGCCACAGGTACACAAAAGTGGGTTAAAGCGTGTTTGCAATCAATCCCCTAGAGTGAATAGTTACGAACACTTGAAAGGATAAAACGTGTAGGACGGGGACGGCAAGGTTGAAATAAGTCCTGTTTCCGATCTCGTCCTAGATGTTTTATCCTTTATAACTATTTACTCTACTTCTATCATAATTTACATGAGATAGTTCATATTCCCAGCGACGGCACATGTCCTGACACCACTAGAAAACTTTTGTTTCAGTCGTTTGAGAAAATCGCACAAAACTTCGACTTAGAAGATTTAGTTTATGTGTGTCGGTCACTCTACGCTCTCCTTATATATGAGAAACTTAAAACAGGTTCGCATGAAGGCATTACACAATCTGGAACGTAAGCTTCTTAACTGGAAATTAGCAAAACGTTAGGTCCAGCGGAAGCAGTAACTCAAACCGAGTCAAAGCCGAGCCTGTTCCTTCAAAACTTCAGTTGTTTTCACGCACGTTTCAATCTTGTAGAATTATCGTTCTGTAGCTGACTCATAAACCAGATGCCTCCACCTCTCCACATTTTTGATACAAGGTCCTGTGAAGGCCGGTTTATTGAGGAAATCAACCCCGCAACTCCAGAACGGTATAGAAATAATCAATCTGTGTATAAAGTGTGCATAACGTATGTTTAATCAGTGTTTAATTGACCAATACCTGATTGGGGAAATATTCAAGATCTGAAAAAGGGTAATTTACAGAATGACAGGTTCCTCTGTGACTTGTCAAAACGGCGACTGGATGTTTCCTACCCTAGAACAAACCTACATTCCCCATGTTATAGCGAACTTTTTCTTTTTAATGTCATACTTAATACCGATTTCAACACTTTAGCTTTTCTTTGTTTCAGGTGCCCTTGAAGCTGCAAGCAGGGAGTTGGGTCCCGCATCCCCTTGAGCCAGTGAAACTTAAATGTGTTCCTCGCACATGATCACGGCGGAATACCAACAATAAGTACCAAAGAGCTCAAGCGATACTTCCCGTTTTGAAATGACGTCAAAGAGCGCGGTGGGCCACGTTGCGCAGACTGCTGAAATTTATATCACCTGTTACTGTTCTGTAAGGCGGTTCCCAGAGATTAAAAAAAAGTTTGTTAGAAGAATTATTGTTACGTGAAATATTGCATTAATTTCTTAGTGCGGCATTGGAATAAATGTTTTATGAGCTTGACGTTTGGAAAATTCTGAACATTACACATACAGGCTACATCACACAGAGCGCTCTGTGCTGTGCAGCAAGACTTTGTTTGTGGTTTCAAGCTTCAAGATGAATGGACCAATACACCAAATCGCCCAAGTAACCACATTCTTTTAGGTTTATAATCATGTTCATTCGCTTTAAATCTGATGGCATTTCTTTCGGCAATACCCCTGTTGATTGGCAGCATATCGAGAAAGGAGCAAACAGCGCGAAATAAACAGGGACAGAGCAGAAATGCACACATTTCTAATTTGAAGGAGGACAGCGCATACCCTTGCACTGTCGTTCTTCGAATAAGAATCTGGGGACGAGAAGTGCATCCATCTTTTTCAGGTCACGACACCATTCTTGCCATTCGTTCTTCAAATCCTTGGGTAGAGCGTTGTCCCACGTAATTTCTCTCGCCCATAGCTCCAAATCAGGCACGTAGCCAGGATTTTGTTTCGGGGGGGGGGGGGGGGGGGCGCCCATGACAAAATGTTGTATGAGGGGGAGGGGGGAGTGGAGGTCCCAGCAAAATGGAAGATTTCGTGTGGGGGGGGGGGGGGGGCGAGCCCCATGCCCCCCCCCCCCCCCCCCCGCCCCGGCTACGTGCCTGCTCAAAATGTTTATCTAAAAACCCCAGGAACAGCCCAGCTTCACGAAAAAAACTCGGGTTTCAGTACCAAATGTTGCAGAGAGATGAAGTCATGGGCGAAACCTTACCCAAATCTATTTGGTTGACCTATTTGTTATGTCACCAAAACCTGAATATTTACTTCTAAAAAAATATGGTGTATGTCCATAGATAGAATTAGGAGAGCGTGTTGGTTAAACATTGTGGTATCTGGTGTCTGATGTGTTTTTGTGTGTCCCTTGTCTCATTTTGCGTTCGCATACCAACGTGGTGTATGCCGTTTATTTTTCGTTGAAGAAAGGTTGACCTCCGAGTGCTCAGGAAGGCGTCCCCTTCCTCCTTTTCCCTCCCTTAAATCCGCGAATAAGTGCTCTCGAAATCATGGTGCTGCTTGTTATAAACGAACGAGTACTCTTTAATAGCGTTGATCAGAGGCCACGCGGAAACCTCTATGACTGCTACCGCGAGCAGGGAGCGTCGGACGAACATCTTGATTGCATCTCCCTCAGAAGTGACGGAATGTTGGATGTAAACAAACCCGAGGTGCCACACGTCATTTCAGGGGGGCCGGTTATTAACACATTCGCTCGACTACTCGGCGACCGGTCTGAAACATCGGTCGGCGAGCGACTGCTCCGACCGATCGCTTTTGCGACCGCGACCCTCGCTCAGCAACCAAACACCTGTTGCGCGTCTGCTGCGACTCAAAAAGTGGGTACGCGCGTTAAGCGTAGCTGGATACGGAGTTGTCTCGGTGGATACAGGCGTGTCTCAGCTGGCTTCACTAAATGTGATAGGAGGTACATTTGCTTGAAGTGATCCGGTCGTCTTCACGATGCCTCACAAAAAGAAAGGAACGCACCGAGGAAGACATCACTGAACAAAAGCGGTGGCGCACTAAGGCTCAGCTTGTTCGCCATGCCAACGCGAGATGCCACAAAAGAGAGAACAGTGTTTGGCTAAGGACACAAAAAGAAAGGCGTGCTCGTTATGCAACAACCGAGGGCTGAATGAGGAAACGAGGTGCTTCCAGATTACTCTACAAGAAACAGAGCAAAAGCAAAAAAAGAACTTTGGTAAATAAATTACACGCATGTGATTTCTTAGAAATCAATCATGTTTATTTGGAAGATAACATCGAAGCACTCTTTGGATCCCTGTCTGCTTATGTCTCACGGTGAATGTGAAATAAACTTAAAAAGGATGTTGAATAGTCAAAATCCAACCCAAGGTAAATGCATTGACCAGGACGAGTAAGGGCCGTGATTATGTTAGAGGCATTTTGGTCGTTACCTCATTGCGGTTTGTCATTTGCAGCAGCTCTTTGAGCTTTCTTGGGAGAGCGCGGAATTATTTGCACTTTTATCGGTTCTTGAAATTCCAGCAGAAGACTTCTTGGTACAAACTTCAATTGATCCTTAAATAAAAAAAAAAACAGAAAATTAGTTTCGCTTTTTTTACACCGAAATTCACAAGACCGTTTCAAATACCGCCTAACTAAATTATAGTATGTTCGTTCATAGAAAAAATGTTTTGTGCATTTCCTATTCACGGATATATATATAAACAAAAGCGATCTAATAAATATAAATAATGGCCTCTGCAGCCTTCCGATTATGATCCAACGTGCGGCCGGGAGCTTTTAAGCCGTCTCAATTTAAATTAGCCTGTGGGATCCTGCCTTTTACAGCGTGGGTGTTTCCAGCTCATTCATTCATTCATTCATTTACTCATTCATTCATTCATTTTATTATTTTCCGTTTTAGTAAACAGCTGATGCCTTAGTAATGAGACACAAACCGTGAGATTACGAATTTGCCACAAACAACTTAAGCGGTCAAAAATAAGTTAAAACTTATATCCGAATAACGCTTATCGTCAGGCGAGCTGGTGCCGAATCTTTGAAAACATGTTTGTGTTTATAGCTACAGACAAGAGGGGAGAGGAGACAACGCAATGCACTAACTTCAACCCTTTCATCCTCAGATATCTACAGGAATATAGGCTCTGTGCCATAACGCCAGGTCGTTTTTTTTTCGGTACCCGATAAACTCGCCATGATGTGCCAATCGACAGACCCCTTCCGAAAAGCCCCAGTATGAAGAAGCACCGGAGATCGTTTGTTGCATGCACAAAAGGGGTCGAGTGTCAGCCCCGCTGACGTGTGACAGGAAATGCGTATACGCCAGACAGGAAGCTGTGGTAATAATGGACTACGCGAACATAACCAAAAAGTTAGCAGCCATCGAGATGGCCGGTCTGTCGATGCCTTGTCATGACTGCCGATCCAAACCTCTGTTCACTACGTGCTCGATTATGAGCAGGCATAAAAATAAAACGGTAAGAAAAATTATTGAATAAGTCTCCATCAAAAGTTACAGCAATGAATACGTCAGAGCGTCTTCAATCGACCCGGCGGATAAAGAGACAGTTCTGGCAAACAGCAACTGAATGCGCGGTTATTATCGAGTGGTGTGATGGCACAGAGCATATTTTTCCCGCGGGGTTTCGAGGATTAAACATTTGAAGTTAGCCGATGGTGTTGTCTGTCCTTCCCTTCTGTCCGTGTCTCAGAACGCAAACCGATGTTTTCAAAGATGCAATATCCGCGGCACCGATGGTGT